TTGGTACTGCTTGTGTTGCTATATATTTACGTACACTCTGTTGTGTTTGGAATTGCGTGAATATTATCGAACATATTGACGGTTTTTGCTGTAACGTAGCTTCCACCCGCCCTTCGTCAGATAACATACAGGCTCTATGTAGATGCAGTAGTGCAATCGCCAACCGGAATTATTGCGTCAACACTGTGCTACCGGTAATCACAAATGTGTGCATGTTTTTGTTTCCCCCATATTAATTTGAGTTCAATTTATCGGCCAGGCATGTGAAGACAGCAGAAAGGAGGGGTACACAGGCACATGCCAATCTCCACTCCAACACTTCAGTGTGGTCGCAGTGTTCGTCCCAGGCCAAAACAGCATCGCAGCCCGTGGTGCGACCATTCAATTCCCCTATTCGGAAACGTTAATTGTCCAAGATTTCTAGACTACGATACTCAGTGGCAAGAAGCATTTTCATTGTTACCACTACTTGTCTGGTTTTAACAAGTGACATGTCTTTGCATCCTGTCCCTTGCTTTTAAAACAATATATATAAATTTGCTATGAAATAACGACTAATATTGTATTGTATGGGTGAGATGAGTGTTTTTCTAACTGGGCATGCAGCTCAAATCAACAAGCCCAATGGAGTTTTGAAGTGTTAAAGTTATGACCACTAAAAATACACCAGTCAACAACATGAACAATTTAAATTTCACCATCATGTGACTATAGTAACATATCGCATGCTGTTTCAAGAATACCAACGCTCGATGCTCTCATTTTTCATAAACTCCTATACAGAAGAAACGAAAATCACCGCCTACTAATGATGAAAACATGCCCTGGCCAGACTAGTGAAAGAACCAAAGAAAAGGGAAGACTTGAATCGATAAAGCATGGCTTGAAAGCCATGATTAGTTGCGTCAAACTCCAGACGGAAAATGTGAATAATTTTATTTCAGTGCCTGCAAGTGCGTGGAACCCGTGACATGTAAACATAACCATGTGACCCATTAATAACTTTAAAGCTCCATGCAACTCTTTTTCGCAATTTGATTATTGTTTTTAAATACATGTACATGATTATGTATATTCTCAAAGAATATTTGTTACTGTTTGCATTTCTGAAAATTAAAAACTGGCCTTTGACCCCAAAGACAACGTGTCAAGTCACTGCAGGCCTTCATGTTTTTTAGGGTGTTGAGATTTTACCGTGGTTCATGGATTAGGTGATTTCGTGCTAGGAGACTTGTTTTATTTAGAGTTGTGTTTGTATTTTCTAGGATTATTGTGCTTCCTTTGTGGAAAACATGAAATAGGTATGGTCAAAAAATAGAATGGATATATGGTCTAAAACGCCATGCAATTACATTGCAAGGGTACAGTGTTGGGATCGAAACACTGCAAGTCAGAGACTCATCAGCTGGCCGAAGGGAGAAGGAAGCAAAACTTGCAGAGGCCAATGGAGGTACTGTTATGGCGGACCACCAGCTACTGTAAGGCAGAACAGAAGACCAAGCATCATTTAAACAAATACCTAGTAATGAATAACTTAAATGTTTGATGCCAACTTGTATATAATTTATTATATGAATTGCATGTATTTATTCAAAATAAAATTACACTTGCATTGTGTTAACATTTTAAAAGTGTGAGCAATTTATGCAAATCAGTATGCTAATTAATATTAATTTAATGTGGATTTCTCATGATTTTAATAGCTATGTAGCCTCTAGCATAATGGTGAATAAAAAAAAAGTTATATATGCATGTGCCGAATGCTGTATTCACAAACTTAAAAGGCAGTGGTCATCACACAGCGCATTTTGAAATTTCATGTAAACAATGTATTTTACTCACATTCTGTACATCCCATATCAAACAAAACACAAGTCCCTTTAAACAACTGTCCACATAATTAGAAAATATTTTTTATGAAAATGTTTACGCCGTTGACGCTGCAGGTCGGCGTCTTCTACACCGATCTGACGCATATCGCGCAAGGTGTGCCGGGAGTTTGTTCGAAACTTTGAATGTTTGGAAGACAGTCGTCGATTGGCACGTACTTTACAGATATATTAAATCGTTTCAGGGACCTGTTTACTAAATAATGATAGATGAAACTTAGAAAACTTGTGAGAACAAACTCGGCACAAATTGCGCAAATTTGCAATAAGTTTACGCTGCTAGTGTCTGGTTCGGAAGGAGTTCTACGCAGGAATTTAACGCGTTCAAGGACGTTCTATTTTCGAACTAGTTGAAACCGGAAATTACGCAAGTACTTTGGAACTTCAAACACAAATTTGATTATAGTTATTATGCGTTAGTTTCTGTTGTTTCAAGGATTTAATTATTTATGACATTAATATTTCACTCACTAAACAATATTTCACTACAATACGAGATTAAAAAGCAACTTAAATTGAAAAAAATATGATCAAGTTCCGTGTATAAACACTAGTGTAAAGAGGCGACGGAGCGTTTTTTTGGCCAAAATCGGCTAGTAAGGCGTCATATGACACAGGTCTGTGCTGGGCCAGCACTTCCTGTGACGACACAACGTGTTTACGCTATTCTATGACAATGAAATAATAATAACAATAGCTTTGCTTATAAAAAAATGTGAAGGCTGGTTCAAAAACTAAACATTGTCTATGCCCATATTGCATGCCTTCATGGCCATAGCAACTGTGACCGCCCACATATTCATAATGAGGCGCTTGCTGATTGGATAATGTTAATCTCATTAACATTGAAGTCACAATACCATTTCCGGATTGGTCAATTTAAATTCTATTCATCCATTTAGATTTTAAAAAATCTATATTATTGATAAAACGTTTATAACGACCACAGCTATATGTGCTTTACTGTAGTTGAATCATTCTCTGTTTGTCTACCGTTTTGGATTTAATTCATGCGAAAGGAAAAAATATCAATGGGCATGCAACATGTCTGAGTGATCATACGCTTCCCCCGAATGTGGTGTTTTTGTACTCTGTATACTTACAGTTTTGCAAACCTGGAATGTGACAGAATAACAGATTTTCAGTCAAATTACACCATTCTTTACTCTGAATCAGCAAGATGTTTCTCATGACGCGTGGTTCCTTTTTCATTTCAGAAAATTGCCGCGAGATGGCGTACTAACTTTGCCTGTGATTTCAAGTTATTCCGTTTTCTGTCTGATGCATGAAATTCAAACCCTTTCTCCAAAAATTATAAAACGATCATCTGTAATATTTGAAGAGGTAAAGCACGGAAACACTTCTGATTTTTACCAACAATAGTGAGCGAGATTGTTGAAAATAAACAGGGGTCACTGCAAGAGGGCGCTATTGAGTCGTGCTCATCGATCGCCATCTTGTTTATGAAGAAGAAGAAACTGAGTCCGGCTGCGTAAATGACGCGAAAATCAACGTAGTTTTGGAAGAGATCGACTGTTGGAAAGGGTACAGATAATTGTCGCATTTCTAGAAACGTTTTCGGTGTGTTTTTAGGCAAATTTGGTTGGTTGATTTACGTTTTGGACAAATTGTAAAAAAGGAAAGAAGACTAAAAAAAGCGATGCTTTTTGCTTACGTAGATATTTACTAACAAAGGTAGCTCTTGTTCACCATTTTAGGATGCAATGATCACTGGTTTACTCTTTCATTTCAGTTAGTATCCAAAACGGAGTTGAAGTTAATGTGAATGAAAAGAAGTTTAACTTTCAAATGTGTGTTTGTGTGTGTGTGTGTGTGTGAGAAAGAGCGAAAGGTCATTTGTGACGTGTTTGTTTTGACCTTCAGATATTGACCTGTAATGGCCACAGGTCCCCAAGTGATCAGATTTCCCGTGTTTATCCCATTCTTTATTCGTATATAATCATACATTCAACAGTAGTGCATGTATGCGAATGTGGATTTGTGAATTTCTTTGTGTGGCGTGTAGAGCTAGTGATAGAGCTAGTATTTTATTGCATCTTTAGAAACAGTAATTATCTATCAGTTGTTATCAGTAATAAATAAATAGGTAGCACAGTGTGTATGAGAGGTTCAGAAGGAACCAGAAGAATCGCGAACTGCATATAAAATCACTCAAGAATTATTGGAGCCTGAATTATTGTTCCTCTATGTGATGACTAAAATGGATCATCGGAAGCAGCAAATCATCTCAACAGATCGTGATGGCGACGAGGGACCAACTCCATCAAATATCTGTTATTTCGGACTTGAGCACATGCACAGGAAAATATCAAACGTAGCCATGGATATTATTGAGTGCATACATTATTTGTATGGAACACAAGATATCTGTGGATGATGGTGAACTTATCAAATGTGGTTGTACACTACAGTTGACTACTCCTGTATGCAGATTGCTGAACATTGTCTCTAAATGCTCAACTTATGTGATATGCTACAAATAGAACAATATTCATCTGAAAAGTGATGTATCTACATTCTTCTATGACAGACGAGTGGATCAAAGTGCATGTGCTCTTTCAAAATTGAAAAAAAAAAAAATTTGAAAAAAATATTTGTACCTAATACATTGGATGAAGATTGCTGTCTTCTGTCTGATTGTGTATGTGGAAAACATTTCTTCTTTCTCCTAACAATTAGAATTTCTAATAGTTCCACTAATCTGAAGGACATTACCATGCATTAATCCTGAATACTTGCAGGATACATTACAACTCTATAGCAGAATAAAGCAAAACTAGGTATGTTGGTTCAACATAACTCTTGTACTTGGATTTAGTGTTATATTATTGCATTTCTTAATAATACTAGACATTTTGTGCAACTATGTCATGTTTATCTGTGTCATCATTGATAATAGCTGCAGTTTAATAAAAAATATGCATTCCGGTACTTTACTGAATTGTCTTTTCCCCCTCGAAAAAGCACATTATTGAGAAGATCAAGCCAGAAGTACCTTTCAAGATAGAAGCTAGTGATAGTGACACTGAACATAAAGATGACAAGTCAAGGCGATGACTGTTATTTCTTTTATTATTCTTCGTGTGCCAAGGTAAGTTATATTACATGATAGCCATGCTCTCACTGGGGAACTGGGTATGGATGGAGATAGAGTTGATCTTTGGTGTTCATATTGGAAAGATGACCCAGTTGGCATAGGACGAAATCACATCCTCATTTGTGCTGAAATAATACAACCCCGCCTCCCAGCTGTTGCTAGAAATATACAGACCCAGATACGACTGTAAACATTCTTACATGCCAGTAATTTCAAACACCATATTTGCTAGATGTGGGTTTTGGTACTGCTAAAAGTGTTCTGATACATAAAAGTCAGAATGTACTCAATTAGATGTAGACTTTCTAAGTGGACTGGGTATGCAAAAACTGGTTGTGTGCCAATTCAGCTCCAACTGTTACTATAGTGATTGTGTTTACTGTTAATTTCAGGGTGCCGCATGTCCATTTCGGCATTGCGAAGCTGCCTTGGGTAGTGAGACTGTTTGTACATTATGGAAGGAAGGCCGATGTTACAGGGATGTGTGCAAGTACAGGCATATGGAATCAAATGTAAGTTGAATCACAGTTACAGTGTGAGCTATAATGTGTGTTATCATGATTATATCAATATTAAAAGTGACCCCCATTGGTACTTGTATGTAATAACTCATGAATGTCCTTTGACAGAAACAAAGAGCTGTTATTCCATGCTACTGGGAAAGCCAACCAGGTGGATGTCAAAAACCACATTGTGTCTTCAAGCATACCCATTCCAGTATTGGATTTGATTCATTTGATGTACTACAGAGTAGCACACCAAAGATAAACACTTCTCTAACAGGTTTGTTAAGTATTTTCTTAATGCATGAGATTGCACCAGTGTGTCATGCAAACTGTAATTTTAATGGTTCCGCTCATCGTTTACTATATTATACTGGATGTGTTAATCTTATGTGCCAACATCTTATGTATATCATTGCCTGTCATGAACGGACATATTTTCACGGTTCGATTTGAATACTGTAGTGCATTAATTATTTGCTGTTTTTTAATTAGGCTATTTACGCCAATAAGTAAAATATGCTAAATTCAACAAAAACAATAGAACTCATTGTTTCCCTACCATGTTCCTGAACTTAAAACCCTGTGATATTGCCCAAACCATCAAAATAGTGAAATTAAATGCCAGTGAAAATTAATGAATAAATAAATACTGTTTTACAGTAGTCATTTTGAAAATTACTGTTCAATACATGCCTTCTCGTCAAGAATTATGACAAGAATTCTGCTTAAATCTTGCCCAACTTAGTAAACTAACATCAAAATTGTATTCTATGAATATTCATGATTGTATACGCCAGAAAAATAAAGTACTCCATGCATTCTGATTATCAAAACAAGACATAAATTATACCTTATATCGAAATGAATTTAAATATTCATGCTGTTAACACTGCAGTGTTATGTATATATTACGTAGGAAATAAGTTCTTGGTCTGTCAATGGGACATATATGTTGTCTGCCTTAATAGTTAAATATCAATGTATATTGTATCTCCCCAGGGTCTTTGTCATCTCCTAACTTGCAAGATTTATCTCGTAATGATAATATAGTACCGAGTCCTGTACCAACACCTGAAATACAACCTGTTGTGATAAGGGCGGATGATGACGATGGTAAATGTATCATGTTACTACAATCACAACAGTTAGTGGTAAATTCATTCATGCCAGAATCACGAAATACAGGCAATACTGGTAACTTGCATCTGAGGGGGTTAATGGACATACAGTGTGTATCAGCCTATGATACAACTATATCATGCACTTATAATAGTAGAACAAAAGACAATACTCTAGCTACTTAGTAATAAACTGATGGTATGTAGTGTTTTTAATGGTTGTCTATGTGTTAATCCCTTATGCTAATGGTTCTGTTCTCTGTTCTGATTTATAGATGAGACTGCCTCTGAAAGCTCTCCTATTCACAGTAAGCGTGTTGTATCACCAGTGAAAGTCTCACAGAGGGTGATACGAAGAATAGATGAAAGCAAACAGAACAAAGGTGCCAACTACTTGTATTTTTAGGAATATACAGTACTATGCCATCTGACCATCGTCCACTACAAGCTATATATTTTGTGCATTTTTTACCAAGAGGACAAATCATAATGTACTCATTTTTTTATGTATTATGTTAATTTACCTTTTTTTTGCAGGCAAACCATCACCGGTTGCTCTTGAAGAAATCAAAGTACAGGGGTCAAAAGTGATATCTACCAAAAAAAATGGCAGTTCAAGTGTTGAACCAGGTAAGTAGAGAGGTACATGACAGAATGGGTTTGATTCTAGTTATTTAGCATTTAGACCTACTATATTTGATATAAAATACAGTGTGAATGTGAAATATTAAATAACCATTCAAACTTTTCTTCTATTACTCCCAGAAATCTCTTTTGGAGTCAAATCTCTGGAAGAAATAAGAAAATCAAAACAACAGAGATCTGTGAGAGAACGTCTGGGTGCAGTACAGGCTGAGAGAATCGTTGATATCACAGGTAAGTTAAGAGTGTTGAAAATGTAGATGTTTGGTATCATTATGTGTGATTATGTAACTAGTATCTTTTTAAGTTACAGAAATCAACCGTAGAATAACTTAATTTATTCTTGAGCTTCAATATGTTCTCTCTCGCAATAGATGATGCCTTGACGTCATTAAAAGTGAAAAATCTTGATGATATCAGAAAAGAAAGGCAAAACCAAGTCAAACCACGTTCTAGTGTCTTTAGAAGAATTGTTGTCACTGGTAAGTCATGACTGCTCTTATATTATTAAATACTGTAAAGAGGTTAATTTTAGCGGTGTTAAAAATTCGCGCATTCCTAATTTCGGACGGCTTAGCGCAAGAGAGGTTTTATATTTCTCTAACTAAGCAGGAAACATCTTGCCCATTTCCGTCCCACTTTGTAAACAATGGGTTTGTGGCAAAACAAATACAATGGTATCAACACAGTGTCAGACGATCGTATGCACTCAGACTATTATGTATTTCGCACTTATAAATTTTATTCATTGTTTTACTGTCTCCTGATATTAAACAATACATGGCTCGTGCGAAGCGGTGACATGAGAGAAATGAGTGTATAAAAGTGGGCTTGTTTCTCCCCCAAAATCAGTCTCCTGTGTAGTAAACGTACATGAATCATCGTCTGCAATTTACCGACACTACAACATGGCTACCGATCTCATAAAATGGTTGAAAAAAGCACCATTACCGTCACCAAGCGAACCAAACTTGCTCGATCCTAATAACATCAACGACGTCGAACAGTGCGAACTGTCACCTGAAGTAATTGCCGTTGTCAATGAAGAGATAACATCCGCTAGTCGGAAACGAAAACGCAGAAATTATCAGCACTATGATGAAAATATTCGAGCTAAAATCGGCAAATATGCAGTAAACAACGGAGTGATGAATGCTGCTAGAAAATCACTAAAGAACTTGGTAGGCATGTTGGTGAAAGCAGTTCGAGGAATGAAACAAACATATCTCAAATGCAATTCGGAGTGGCAAAGAAAATGTCAACACATTGCCGACAACAAGGGGACGTGCCAGACTGCTCGGTAGTGAACTCGACTCCAAGGTACAGTCACTTGTATGACGGCTACGCATCAAGGGCGGTGTTGTTAATTCAGCCGTTTGTATTGCAATCGGTCGAGGTATACTTCTACATGGAAATCGAAATTTACTACAAGAGTTTGGGGGTCACATCAACTTGATCGTGGACTGGGCAAAATCGCTGCTTCATCGCATGGGTTACGTTAAAAGAAAAGGTACAAATGCTGTAAAAAAAAATTGTTGATGACTTTCCCGCCGTTAAAGCAGCTTTCCTTGAACGGATAACCAAGACCGTTAAAGAACACGATGTTCCCCAAGAACTTGTTATCAACTGGGACCAGATCGGTGTTGCAATAATTACAGCAGGCGAGTGGACAATGGAAAAACAAGGATCACGTCAAGTCACGATAGCATGACAAGCGGCAAATTACTAACTGCATTGTTTGCTTCAGGTGATTTTTTACCACCTCAGATATTATATCAGGGGAAAAACCGATCGTTGTCACTCGGGCTACAATTTTCCCGATGCTTGGGATGTTTTCCATATAGAAAGTCATTGGTCAAATCATAATTCCATGATGCGATACGTCGACAACATCATTATACCGTACGTGAATGCAACCAGGACGAGGCTTCAACTTCCAGTGACCCAGCAGGCAGTCGCCATATCGATGTTTTTAAAGCACATCACGGCCAAGAACTGTTGAAGAAGTTGAACGATCACATCATCTCTGTAGTATTTGTGCCAGCATGCTGCACAGATCGTCTTCAGCCCCTTGACTTGTCCGTGAATAAGATCTTTAAGGATGCAATAAAGCGAGAATTCCAGAATTGGTACGGCGAGCGTGTGTGTTCAGGAATGAATGAC